TGGTCATGGTGTTCTGTCTGTCTGTCTGTCTTCTTTGTTGTATTTTTAGATGGTCGTTTTTCTTTAGGTCACCTGCAGATGGTGAAGGTGCCTGGGAGCCAGGTGTTACTCAGCACTGCTCTGCTCGGTGGCTGGAGCAGGGTTCTCAGTTGGTGCTTCACCTGCCTTGGTCTCTTTGCCATCTTGTGCAGGAGCATTAGGAGGACGGGGGCGGCGGCAGAAGTTGTATGGACGCCTGTATCCACGGCGAGCAGCTGGTTGGTTTGGACCACTGGCTGCTTGTTGATTTTCTTTATCTTCAGCCTCTCTGACAGCTGGGGGAGGTCGTGGGCGAGGAGGTCCCCTACGGTATCTTGGGCGGTAAGTTGGGTTTCTATGAACTGGAACCTGAAGTTGGGCTCCCTCTGGGACTCCATCCTTCATTTCTCTAATCTCACCAGCCTGCATTCTGTTGGGCTGGGGAAAGACCCGAGAGCGACGGTCAAAGGTCTGTCCCACGTGGTAAGGCAGGAACCGCCGCTGCCGGTACTGAGGGCGATACTGGGGACGGTGCAGCTGACTTCGGGACCCAAAGAACTGCCCGTCAGAGGCAGGGGGGTCGAATCCTTCACTGCTGCCGCTCCCTTCCTCCTCCTCCTCCCCAGCGTAATTGCGGGGAGGTCCGCGGCGTCTGCCATAGTAGCCCCCCGTCTGTAACGGCGGCGGTCATCAGCATACCGGCTCCCTTCTACAGGAACTCCATCTGGACCAGTCACATTGGCTGCTTCTGCACCCTTCTCTCCTTCAACAACATCAAACTCTACAGTTTCTCCATCTCCTACACTGCGCAGGTATTTCCGTGGATTGTTCTTCTTGATGGCTGTCTGATGCACAAATACATCTTCTTTGGTGTCATTTCGATTTATAAATCCATATCCATTTCTGACATTGAACCATTTGACAGTGCCAAGGACTTTGGTGAACCTTAACTTCTTAGCCATAAAATCAACCCAGTATGAAGATTAACTGTGATAGTGCCGAGCAAATAGAAATATGCAACATAATCATTTTAATGCTATTTTATTAATCTAAGGGAGCTCCAGAAGACCTCTCTGCACAGAAAGAGTTGTGCTACCAGACCAGTGGGCTTGCCTTTTTAATGGCTCAAGTCCAGTAGCCACTCAAGGCAAAAAAAACACCATCTCCTGTGCAATTTACAGCCTCAGAAACCCACTAGAATCAGCTATGAGTTGGGAGCAATGCAAGTTATTTATTAAGATTCAAATTACCTTAGAGTCAAAAGAAAACTTCCAGGAAAAAATTACATATACAATTAATCTAAGCAAATGTAAATTTTTAGCAGCACACAACAGCCACTTCTGTAAATCACAAAAGCATCTTTTGGGCGATCTGTCATTAGTCTCAGAACAAGCTAGTAACAATGCTAGAATCCTTTCTCTCTTAAGGCCGTAAGACACTAAGCATTATTTTGGAAAAACAATCTTCTGTCTCACTGCTTTTCAAAAGTCTGGATTCTGGAACACAAGTGGTTACTAACTAATAGTATTAGCAAAGTATTAAGTATTTTTACTATCTTACCTCAAGGCAGTTTCTATCCACTGTAACCTCCATTAAGCATTTTCCACTACTTGCTGATGAAGAATAAAGACCCTGACTTGGACGGCCAAAAAGGTCCTCTTTTCTAGCATTTGGCTGGAATTTAATAAAAATATTCTAGTTACACCGAATGGTTCAAAGAAATCGTTAATTACAATCTTAAGACAGGCTTGTTTAAATCACCTGTAACAGATGCGGCTGATCCGCCAAAGGGATGGCTTCAGCCAGAGGCACTTCAAATGGATTCGGGGGGATACACCCAAGGAACGTCATGGAGTCTGAGCGTCGGAAAAATGGATGGTTTTGACCAGTTTCTGCAGGAAGAGAGTCATCATCCTTATCATTCAAAGTAGCACCTAAACAGAAAAACAGAAAATGCTTTGTTTATAGGGAAATTAATTACTGACAATTTAAAAGAATGTTTCTCTGGCCAATACAAAATGTTAATGCCACTCAGTAGCAAGTTAATAAACCAAAAATTTGGCAGTATCTTTTAAGTGGTAATTTAAGGTATTACCAGTAATACATTCTTAACTCTGAATGGAGTAGAGGATTCCCATATCACTTTCTCTCTCTAGAAATTCAAACCAGAACACAATTAAGTTTCCTGAGCTCATTCAGAACCCAATTCACTGAAACTGCAAAACGAGGAGACTGTCTTGAGCTTATGTGGGCACCTGCTTACTGGCCAGTTCTTCTCTCTCCTCTGTAAGACTGCTTTCAGAGAACAATGCCTAGGCAACTCAGACAACCCAATAGGAAGTGAGCACACCAGCTTCAATACTCCTTAGAGGAATAAATCTCTGGGCGCTGCTTATTTTATGCCGTAAAAATGGCAAATAGCTATGACTGGGTTTCCCCTGCTCAGCTGCCTTTTTCCTAGACTGAATAAAAGTAATAGCCAGTGATAAAAGTCATGCAAGTGGGCTATTTAGTCCTACTTTTAATAGATTTTTCAATGCCCACCTAACATCATAGCTGTGCAGAAGATTCCAAAATTTCTTTGTATTATAAAAATTTCTGAGAAAACCATGTTTGCAGTATTTTCTGTAGTTTCATTTATTAACTTTTAGAGTTTTCTTATTGTTTGGAATTTATAACTGGTATACCTTATTTTCTTGACTAAATCTATTTTTTATTCATTTTAACAAAGTTTCCCCCCAAGATTTTCTTTAATATTTACCTATACTCTTTTTTTTTTAAAGAGTCAAAGTAAGGATAAAAGCAAGAGAACTGCAAAACAGACATACACAGATGAGAGTGGGGAAACTGTTGAAAAATTCAACTCATTCTTTACTTCATCATTCATTATGAAGCATATAATGCAATGATGTGTAAGGAAGAAAACAGAAAAAACCAAGAAATGGAATGCAAAGAATCTAAGAGGCATTCCCACCCAAACAGAAAAGAATGACGTTAAAAAAGCTTGAAGGGGAAAACACTGAGGAAGCAGCCATTCCTTGCAGTAGATTATCTGTGCACTAACTTTGATTGGTGTCATCATCATTTTCATGTTCTGAATCTTCATTATCAATACCCAGTTCCACGAGTTCTCGTGTCCTTTAAAAGAAACAAGTGTTAATTTTACATGAATTCCTTTTACATGAACGTTTTGTATCATGTGAACACAAATGAAGGGCAGGCTAGAAACAAGCACGTACAAGGCCTCTCTCTTCAGTATCTAACCAATTTCAAACAATGGTAGGGAAATGGTAGACTGACCAGCCAATTATATGTACTGTTTTTACAAAGTGAGCTCAGAAACCGAAACCTAATCACATCAAGAAACAAAGACTACCTACACGAACTCCCGACAAAAATGATGATAAATATTTATGTGAGCAGTAGTTATGGAGTTAAAGCATGCAGTGTTGTTGTGGGATTTCCTTTCTGTACTATGAAAACTTGCTGGGCCCTAATGAAGAACGTACCCCAGGAGCATTTCTCAAGCCCAGCCTCAGAACAGTATAGATACCTTTTGCGTTCCAGTTGAGGTGTATCCAATGTTGTCTGCTGATTCATTGCTTTAATCCAATAGATAAGGGCTTGAAAAACATAAGCCACATGCTTCAATGAGCAAACATCCAAAACTGGAAGAACATCAGAATGCTCATCGTTGTGAGAGCGCATTAAAGACAGAGCATAATTTAGGAAGTCCCCTCGAGCAGACAGCATTCCTTGACGAGCACTAAGCAAAGTGGCACGCCTGTTGGGAGCAAAAGGAAATACACAAATATGAAACTTAACATTATGATTAGGAACTGAAAATATCCATTAAAAAAAAAAAACACCTCATAAAACTTTTAACCCTGCTTAAGAAAAACAGTCATTGTGTCTGATTTATATATACTCCTTTGCTTTTATACAGAATAATAAGTCTGATGGAATGGCAAAATGGATTCCTTCCCTTAAAATAGGGGTTTTCACATGTCAGCATCCATCAGAATCACCAGAAGAGCTTAATTGTTAAAATAGATTAACTGTCCACAGACCTATAGTGTCAGTAGGTCTTTGGCAAGATCCAAAAATCCACATTTGTAGAAAGCTCCCAGATGATGGTAATAATGCTATTGTGGAGACCACACTTTGAGAACGATGGCCAAAAGTAGAGAAACAAGACCAAAAATACAGCTAACAGAAGAAATCAAAACAGATACACTGGACTTAATCAAAATTAAAAAGTGTTATGCTTCAGAGGACACCATAAAAATAGGTGATAAAGAAACTCCAGCATGGGAGAAAATTCTTGCAACTCATTTATCTGCTAAGTGCCTTATATCAAGAATATATGAAGAACTCATAAAACCAGTAATAAAAAGATAAAAAAATCCAATTTAAAAATAGGCAGTGATTCTGGATAGCTAAATGATCAATAAGCACATGAAAAGATGTTCAACATGAGTCAACAGGAAAATGAAAACCACAATGAGATAGTACTATCCACAAGGAGAGCTCATGACCATTCAAAACTGTTGACTATACGTACACTTGCAATGGGTGTATGGTATAAAGTGTATGGTATACAAATTATATTCTTAAACTTAAGTCTCAGCTGCCTGGCAATTTAAAAAGAAGGTTTTAGGTTTCAAAATGCAAGGCACTTACATCCCCCTTCCAAGAGGGTGAAGGCTTATGTAATAGCAATCAAAAAGGATCTGCTATAGTATGTAAGGGCTCTATGTGAACGCATAGGCATTTTATGAATTTCCTACCGTCGGCCTTCAAGTGTTCTTAAACTAGCCTCCTCTCGTGCAGTCATTCTCTCTCTTCGCGCTGAATTTTGAGAAGCATGAAGAGGATGATTGGGATGTCCTGGATCACCAGCAGATGCTAATGCAGAACCATAACGTAATTGAGCTTCAGTAGAATCCATTATACTGACCATCCAGTTCCAAGTGGGAATAAGCTTTTCTTCTACATAGTTCTATGAAGATCAAACTAAATAGTTAAAACTATCAAATACAGTCGAATGTAATTTAGTAGTATTATGTAAGCATTAAAACATTCACAAAATTAATTTTCATTATGCTGGAATTCTCATACTTGGCAACTATGATAAATATTTGAACGAGTTAACTTTTAAATGGTTTCATACCTGTAAATTTACAGCATCCTGGTAAGTCAATTTCACTGCAGCTGGAATCTGAGAGTATACTAGGTGATTATACTTAGGAATAAGGCCCATCAAGTCTGAGATCTGTCTGATGACAATGCTATAAGCCCTGGCTAAACTGCTTGCAGATGTTAAGTAGCTGCTGGCATTGCTAGCTTCCAAAGCAGCTGCTGCAGCTGCGGCACTTGTACTGATGGTACCACTCCGGCGTAAGTTTGAAGGATCAATATAAATCAAACCTGCTGAACTTGCTGTAAAGAAAAAGGACAACCGTAATGAGATAATGTTGATGACTGTATTTCTCTAGCACTGTATATAGTTATTGCTACTAACTGCTAGATGAATAAAAAGCTTTCCTTAAAGCATAGAACATAAGGGAAAGAAGGCGAAAATTACTATAATGCTCTCCACCAGGGTCAAGGAGTTCTAGCAGCCTAGTGCTTAAGAAGCTGTGCTGCAATGGTTCCGAGTCATCGCCTATTAGGTGGGAGGACGGGTCATTTCCTCCCATGGGATTTACTGCCTCTGAAAACTGAAGGGTAAACTCTGGGTCGGTTCCAACTCCACGGCACACAGCAACACAACAACCAGGCACCATGTGCAAGGGCCATTTGGCAATCACATGTGTGGCTGTCACAACTGAGGCAGTGAGAGGAGAAGTGCAAAGGGTGCTACTGGCATCTAATGCCTAGAGGCCAAGAATGCTACTAGGCAGTCACAGTGCAACCCTCCAAATACAGAGGGCTTTTCAGTCCAGAGGGCCAGGAATGTGACACTCCGCTACAATAGCATGTAAATGACATTTCCATCATTAAGACTTGAAGGTAGTGAAACAGTTAAGGAACTCTTTTTTAAAAACTAAGTTGCTCTCTAGGTGAACGTAGAGAATTATAATAAATTCTACTGAAGTATTTGCAGGGGTCCCGAGCTATAAGACTTGCCTGCTGGTGTGGATGTGCTGGAAGGGGCTGTGCTGGCCGCGCGCTGATGCTGTGTATTCCGGACGGCCCACTGCATGGAGCGGGGAGCTTGGGCAGCACCACTGGCGTGGGAGCTATTTGTGGTTCTTTCTAATGGCTCATGAAGCATAAACGTCTCCTGTTCCATGTCGTCACTCTGACTACTGCTGCTGTCAGAATCACTTGAGTCATTTGATTGAGAATCATCTTCAGAAAAGAAGGCAGGAACACTGCTTGCTCCTAAAAGATTTTTTTAATTTTTAAATCAAAACCATTTTGAGGTTACTGTAACTAAAATTATCTAGCCCAAAGTAGCAATATGTTCCTCTTACCCATCGCCATTCCCATGCCCACCTAAAATTCAATGTACACCGACTTACAGGAAAATGGAAAATTTTAAATATATTTGTATACTGAGCAGAAAGAATGCCAAGTTGTGTTAAACAGTCCACAAACCCACCATTAACATGACTGTATTATGCAAAAATCAGAAAGGTGGGAGAAGAGATCACAGAGTATTCTCTTCCCTAATATTATCTACATTCTAGACAGGACAGGATTCAGATCTGTTGTTCATGGGGTCACTATGAGATATATACTTGACTTGACACCTAATAACAACAGTTACAACCATGCAACAGATTCCAACTTGGGGTGACTGCCATGTGTGTTGAAGCAGAATCTCACTGAATTTTTGTAACTGTGATGTTTTACAAACAGATCAGGCCATTAGAGGTGCCCTTCATTTCTGCTGATCCTGTACTTTAATTTTGGTATTCTGTTGTTTACCCTGGTGGTGCATTGGTTAAATACTGATTAGTGGTTCTCACCTACCTGTGGCTCAAGGAGGGGAAAATCCCTGTGGTGCACTCCCATAAAGATTACAGCCTAGGAATGCTGTGGGGTGAGGTTGCTATGAATTGCAATCCTCTGGGGGCACAAAATAACAATTTTCTCTTTGCTTATATTATTTCCCAGAAGTCAGATGTCAATCTTAGCTTTGTTCCTTTCTATATCACATAACTTTTTTCCTTTGACTGCTTTAAGCTTTCTCTTTTTTGCAATGGTTGTAAGCAGTGTTGTACCTTGCTGTAATTTTCCTCTTGTACTTCAAGTTTATCGAACTTCTTGGGTCTGTGAGTTTATAGTTCTTAATTGAGTTTGAAAAGATTTTTTTTTAGCTCTGTTTTTTCCAGTATGTATTTTTCCCTCATTCCTTTTCTTTAAGGATTCAGTATTCACTATTAGATCACTGGAAGTTGTCCAGATTATTCTTCCAGTTCCCCACCCTCCAACCATCTTTTAAGATCGTTTCTTCTTTCATGCCTTTAGTTAATTGCTTTTTGCAAGCTGACTGTATTCAGCCTATTAAAAAGACATTTATTCACCAGTAAAGGGTCTGGTATCCAGGTGGAGAGTATTCTGAATCAGTCTGATGCTACAGAGGTTTTGATTTCTGGTTCTTGTGAGACTTTGGGGCATTGTTTACTGGTAACTGGCTGTGAGTTGATTATATTGGCCTCCTATTTAAAAAGGCATTTGGGTGCTCGCTTCGGCAGCACATATACTAAAATTGGAATGATACAGAGAAGGTTAGCATGGCCCCTGCGCAAGGATGACATGCAAATTTGTGAAGCGTTCCATATTTTTGACCCTGAAATTAACCAGTCTGTAACGAAGGCTAACTCCTTTCACCTACAAATTTCGTCTTTGGATACAAAGCTAAGTGGATAGCCCTTATGGAGGGACAGTTTAAAAAGAGGCAGGGAAAAGAAAAGGAAAAAAAAAAGGCATTTGGGCCCTCAGGCCTGGTTTTAATTAATTTTGGTCAAACATTCTTCGAAGTAGTATAGCACTGATCTGTCCTTTTGCTGTACAGAAGTAACTGTGGTTTCTGTGATGCTAACACTATGACACTGATGTGTCAAATGTGATAATGGTTACCCAAGGTGGACAGTGTTTGGTGGAACTCCTAATTAAAACAAGCTTGGAAGCAGGAGTGACATCTACTTCTGAAATACCTTGCCTCTGGAGACTCTATGAACTTAGAGAAATGATGAAAGTAATACAAGCGTTCAGGTCTTTCGTTCATAGGGCCGCTAAGAGTCAGTCATCTATGACTCTTAACAACAACAGTGTCTATGGCACTTAACAACAACAACAATCTTATCTATAGGACAAATGAATAAAGTTAAAGGTTCTGGCATGCTATGGATCTCATAGTTTCACGGGGTGATGCTGAATACACAGAGCCTCAGCGTAAACAAGACGGTTGTTGGGACGAGGGAGCATACCTGCTTCCGAGCCAGCAGTAGCTGCCGTGACAACGCTCCTGCGCCCACTAGCGTTATCTTGGTTGCTGTGGTTACTTTCACTGTCACTTTCTGTTTCAGCTGCAGCTAACAGGTCTAGCTCCATGTCACTCCCTAAAAAATACATTAATAATAATTAGAAGGGGTAAAGTGCACAAACCGACTACAGGTCAAGCCAGAATATCATAAGAATATGAATTAAGAAAAGCTCAATGTAGGGGAAGGAGGTGAAGAGAATACAGAAAAGGGGTGCTGACGTGGCCACTAATCTGAGGCCATTTCCAGGCTGGGAAGATGGGCAGAATGGCTAGTTTTTGCAAAATTGTGTTTTCTGGTTTGGCGTTGAAACTAGGGTGTGGCTGTTACTAGCAATAGGGCATGAGCTTATTGGGGAGGAAGTGCCTACAGCTACAGTCGCTATGGGTAGTCTAAGACTCTAGGACACTTAACAACAATGTAATAGTAAATGTTAGTATTAGAAGAATGATTAGGAAAATTAAGGTATTAAATGAACTATTAAAATCTACCAAAAGTATCTAGCAGGAAACTTCAATCATTGGGCAGAGCACTATGGGTAAGGTGCAACTCTTCCACTTTGATCTATTTTATTTATTGGTCTGTCAGAGAAGGACACGAGAGGAAGAAGACGTTAAAAATGCCTATCCTTGCTATTTGCAGGGTGGATGCATGGATACATAGGTCAAAAGGCAGAGCCTATACATATACTCAGTTTATCGTATTTCACACTGCGATACGGCTGGTCCAAAAAAGTCCGGCCTATGGCTGTTATGATGTTATGATGCCATGTAACAAACAGGGCAAAATACTTTCAGTTAAAATAGGATGGGATGATATAGAATATTTAAGTCATGCAGAGGCACTGATTGTACAGGGGAAGTCTAAAAGGGGATGCATGCCCAGAGGAAGACACTACTGGCACATGGAGGGATTACTAGGTCATTTGTTTTCCTTTTTTCTAATATCCACATGTTTCACAATGCAATTACTTATATTCTTCTTATAAACCGTTTAAGGAAAAGAAAATTCTATTAAAAAAAAAAGATTTCTCTTTCTCACTACTGTCAACTCAGTCTGACTCAGTGACCCAACTTCAGGTTTCCGAGGCTGTAAATCTTCAAAGAAGATTGCCCATCTTCTCCCCTCCAGAAAGATGCAGCCTTCTGGTGAGCAGTGCAGCATGCTATGGATTATGTCATCAGAGCACCGATTATTTTACATATGCATGGATATAGTTTGCTAATAAGCACAGTCAATGTCCCTTTTTCAGCAACAGTAATGGTCTATATCAAGTTATCTGATTACAGAGTTAGACCAAATTAGTCTTGTTCAAGTACTGCTTGGACTATTGGGTCCTGATGGCCCTAACTGTTAAACACATGACAACTGGCTACTAAAGAAAAGGTTAGCAGTTCCAATCTGCCAACTAGTGAAGCAGTCTACTTCCCTAGAGATTGGAAACCCTGTCCAAACTCGCTGCCTTCGAGATGGAGGTGATTTAGAGTTGGCCCTCTAGTGGGTTTCCAAGGTGCACTGGAGGAGACTGTCCATCTTTTTCCTTCATAGCTACTAATGGATTTCAACCTCAAGAGAGGTGGGGCCGTTGATTTGGCAGCACAACTCCCTATGGACTATGCCGCCACCAGACCTGACAGAGCAGCTTTATTTTTTACTACAAGACGACCAATTAGATGGACTACTGTTAGAGTGACTTCAACAACAGGCTTCAGCACAGCGAGACTGTGTGTAGCAGATTCTGGCAGGGTTTCTTTGTACTGCACACAAGGTAGCTCACTATGAGCGGGCCTCTTCTCAGCAGCAACCAATAACAACATACGCTTGCTGAATGGCACAAGTTTTTAATTGGTGGTAGAGATAACCAAAAGTCAGATGTCTTAATCTACCAATCACCCCAAATGATTAAGATGTAGCAATCTGTTCCTGTTAAAACTACAGCCTTGGAACTTATGGGGCAGTTTTCTATTCTGGCCTATGAAGCTGCTGTGAGTCAGAGTTGACTCAACAATACGTGCGAACACACTCAGTAACACCTCTCCTTAGTCGTCCCTGGGAGCTGCAAACCAAAAGGTCCACCAGAGCACAAACAAGGACCTCTAGGGGTCAAAAAAGACTGGGCAGCAGCTGCAACAGGATCGTTGCCGACACAAATTTTTATAAGGAGCACTGGTAGCTTAGTGGTAAGGTGGTGTGCTGCCAAACTAAATGGACTCAGCTGTTTAAATCCACCAACTGCTGTGCAGGAGAAAGACAATCCCATGCAATTTACAGCCTCCAAAACCCTGCTGGAGCGTGAACTGAGTCAGTTGCAACCCAACAACATGTAACTAGAAAATTTTTATACAGATGCTACAGAATCCATTAGAAGCTAGGATGCTGAACACCTCATTACACATCAAGAGGTGATTTTCTCTGTATTAGTTGTCTCCTTTTAAAGGTATCCAATTTACTCATGTGAGATAGTTTCTCCAATAACTGCATACCATCTTCGTCATGCTCATCGTGCTGTCCCTCTGCCTCGGCGTTTTCTTCCCCATGTTCCTCCTGTTCGTCATGATGATCTTCTTCTCCAGCCACACCCTCCACCACCTCAACCTAAATCCAGAATCTTATTTGTAGACAATACAATCAAGGTACATAATAAACCCGTATCTCTATCAGTGGCTCTCCATAGCAGTTAGTAAAACACAAAGAACTTTAACTACAGGAGATTAAAAGTATTATATGCTTAGAAGTTCTGCAAAGCCTCATTATTATTGACAATTTACTATTAAAATACATTAGTATTACAAAGTTCATTATTATTTTCAAATTGGAAAGATTTAAGAACTTTATCTGTGGGGATACAAGGAGTTATAAAAATACTTCTGCCATGAGATAAAATTTCTCTCATATATATGCAATATCATCTTGACCTTTAAAATGTATGGCAATGTTTTTGTTGTTTTTTTTTTAAATCTTTACTATTAACTTTCCATAAAAGTAAATTTGTGTCCCATTTTTATTATCCAAAAAAATCAATTATTATTAAAACAATTTCAGTATGTATAGCCACAAAGGAGGACATCTAAAAGTCTAAAAGCTGGATGCAAATGCACATATTAGTCTTAAACTATTACTAGTAAAACTTAATAGTAAATACTCTGCCTTTCTCCTCTTCCAAAATAAAAGCTTTTCATCTACCCCAATTAAAACAGTTATAGCCACCTCTTCCACGTCTGCTGAAACAATATCATCCTGCTCCTCATCTCTGCCCCGGACAGGCTGGGACTGGCTGATGCGCCTCTGCTGAGGGTTCCGGATGATGTAGGAGGACTGCGACTGACTGGAACTGTAAAGGACAAGAAGATTACAGGAAATCTGCTATGACACTTCCGACAGAGGGCATGTCATATGCTTCTCACTCTAAGTGTCTGGCTTCCTTATATACAACATACTTGCAAGAGGTATTTAAAGTCTGGCCTAAGAATTTTTAGAAGTCAGCAATCATCTATAGCATCTCTGGAAACTACAAATTCAAAAAGAAATTATTTACCACATTAACTTATTAATCTTGAGATGTGTACCACTTTTATTCTAAGTGATTTCAAATCCGTGTTAATGCATATATTTCTGTGAGCTTCTACCAGCTCAAAACCTCTCCTTAAAACTGTTTTCCATACTAGCAGTATGAAACTCCTGAATGTTCTGATACTAGCCTTTATTCACTAATAAAAAACTATTTTGAGTTTGAAGGCCCTGAGACAACAACCCTGTTGACAGTGGTTAAAGTGTTAGGCTCTTAACAGAAAGGTTGGTGATTCGAATACACCAACTGCTCCATGAAAGAAAGAAGCAGACTTGCTTCTGCAAAGATTTACAGCCTTGGCAACCTATGAAGCAAATCTACCCTGTTCTTTAAGGTCCCAGTAGGTCTGATTTAGTGTGGTATGAACAGGAGCTCTGGGGGCCTAGTGACAAGAAGCTGAGCTGCAGTCCCACACAGCTCAAATCCACGAGCTTCTCCATGGGAGATGGATCGGCAAAAAGTGCAACTCCTGAGCCAGCAGCACTGATAGAAACACACAATCTTACGCCAGATCCCAGGCTTAAAGGAGCAGAATTTGCGTATCATTAATATCCCTGTATGTTCTGCATTCATATTAAAGTTCAAGAAGCACTAAACTTGCAGAAAAAAGCATCTCAATTCATCACCACTCCCCCTAGAAAACAAAAAACCCACCAAGCAAAAATGAAATCCCACTAGTACTGAGTCAATTTCAACTCCCTGTGACCTACAGGACAGAGGTGAACTGCCATAGAGGGCTTCCCAGGCTGTAAACTCTACAAGAGCAGAATATGCCTCATCCTCACCCCCAGAACAGCTGCTGGAGCCCCCTCACTGACCTATCAGCGATCCACACCTCACCTACCGTACCACTATTCTTACTGTGCTAAGGGACACCAGAAGGTTGTCATTTCTAATATTCTAATTCAACAAGCTTACAATTTCATTCTAAAAACTACTCTATCAAAACAGACTGAAATTTCTTAGTAAATAACCTTCTAACAAGAAAATTATTATTATCCTAAATAATAACATTGCTTTAGAAAAAAGCTCCAGATTTCTGACACTATTTAAATTATACAGTAAAAAAATTACATGTTCTAGCGAGCTCTGGTGGCCTAGTGACAAGAAGCTGCACTGCAATCCCAGAGGCAGAGGTGAGCAGTTTGAATCCACCAGATGCTCTGCTGGAGAAGGAGGGTCAATCTCCTCCTGTACCAGTCAGATCCAATTTGATGGTATACACACACAAAAAAAATTTTTTAAAAAAGATTACATGTTCAGGGGAGCTCTGGTGGCCTAGTGGTAAGGAGTTGCAACTACAATCCCAGAGGCGGACGGTTCGAATCCACCAGATGCTCTGCCAGGGAAGGAGGGACAATCTCCTCCAGTACCAGTCAGATCTGATTTGACGGTACACTCACATAAAAATAATAAAATTAAAAAAAAAAAAAAGATGATTACATGTTCTAGCATTTTCTCCAGCCTTGTAGCCCATTGCTTTAGGATTCAAGAAAAGGTATAGATTCATTCATTCTTTCAATTTGGCTTTACCGCACACTGTATTTAAATTTTAAAATAAGCAAAGCCAGAAAGTAAAATTACAGGATTAATTTGATGGTATAATAAAAACAATGTGATTCCAAAATATAAGTCACCCTACAGCTACATGCTTATTACCTTCAATACGCAGACATACGTTTAACTGTTAAAGTGCTTTCATATGTTCAAACAGGAAAACTACCATTTCTGTAATGAATACTCATGTACATAGTCTGAGTGGTTACACAAAAATTTAAGCAAACTAAACATAACATTTCCAGAGAAAGAGTTGATCAGAATTTCATTAGTTAGAAAGTCACCTGCTAGACTGATCGGATGATGGCCGTGGGGGCAGTGGCTCCACTGAAAAGAGTTCTTCACTGCCCTGCATAGCATCGATGCTCGTACTGGCCAGAGTGAATGGTGCAGTTGGGCGGGCAATGCCCATCCTGACCGGAACAATCAGCGATTCTGCGACATTACACAACTCCTCCACAGCATAAGGCAGCAGCGCTTGGAACACACGCTTGCATTTTCCAATTGGCTGGGGGATAAAGTTGCTAAAGCAAAAACAGAAGAAAGATCCTTCAAGAATTCTCCACAGACATGATGTTACTACAATACACACAAAAACATCATACACGTAAAAACAGAAAAGCATTAACACACACACACACACACACACACACACACACAAAGGTGTACAGAACCACATATACACCAAAGAAAAAGGCATGCCTTACTTTTTCTTTTTGGATGAAGCCATTTCCACACTGAGAATGACGAAAACTCTTGCCACTGAACGGAGAAACCTCATTGTTACAGCAACAGCTTCTTCTCTACGTCCAGCTGTGTATTTGTTTTGGAGTTCTTTTACTAGCGTACCCAATAGAGTATCTAAAAGCTTGAAAAAAAATTATACTCTATTATAACTGAGACATTTCATAAGATGGTCAAATATTCACAAAGTACCAACTTCTACTTTCAGTATCAACATATCATAAAATCCCAAGAAAAATTTAACCAAAATATTTACTTTCATATCAAATGTATTAATTTTGAACCTTGTTCTATTCATTTATATACTGGGTTTGTTTCCCTCAGTAACACAAAACTCTCACTACACATACTTTGCAAATGTTGTTAGGAGAAGAGACATCATTCTGGGAAAGGTGGAGGGTTGGCAAAGGACAGGAAGACCCTCAACCAGACAGACTGACACAGTGACTGCAGTAATAGGCTCAAGTGTGTCAGAGATTGAGAGGATGGCACAGGATGGCAGGGTTCAGAGTTGTTATCATAGGGTTGTTATGGGTGATACTCAACAGCACTTAACAACAATGACATGGCTATCGTGGCTCAGTACTGTTTTCTGAAATCACAACTCAAAAGCATTTTATGTTATCCATTTTCATTGTCTAGTTCTCAGACACAGAGCAAGTGACAAAACAGGTGCACCTTAGTCTTTAAAGTGGCATCATTGCATTCAGTATTGTGGAATGGTCCCTTACGGTAGACTTTTCTAGCGTGTAAGTCTTTTTCTTTTTTGACTGCTGGTGCCAAGAGTGCTGATTATAGATTCAACTAAGATGATCCATTGGCAACCTCAATATTTTCTCCACTTATCATAATGTTGCTCCTGGGTTCAGTGGTGAGGATCTCGGTCTTCTTGTTATTGAAATGTACTCCATAGTGAAGCCTTTGATTTTTTGCAACAAGTTGTTTCAAGTCCTCCTTACTTTCAGAAAGCAAAGTTGGGTCATCTGCGTAACAGTCTTCCTCCTATCTTGATGCCCTATTTTTCTTCATTGAGTCCAGCTTCTCGAATGATTTGCTCAGCATACAGAATTAATAGATATGGAGAAAGGATACAGGCCTAATGCATACCTTTCATGATTTTAGGCCATGCAGTGTTCCCTTGCTCTGTTCAGACAATAGTTTTCTGGTCTTGGAATATAGGTTTCTTTGAGAATGATTCAATGTTTTAAGATTCCCATTTTTCGCAGTGTTAACCACTGTAAAGAGCAAGTATAGTATGGGGATGGCTATATCTGACCTTTATCAATTTCACAAAGGGGAACTGTCCCTGTCAAGAACATCAACAGCACAGAACCAATTCCCATGTAGTCAAACATGTCTCTCACATTCCTGTATCTATTTTAGTCATCCTAATACCAGTCGTGGTAATGGGCACCCATGGTGGCCAGTGTTGGCTGGAGCTTCCCGACTAAATCAAGCCTGGAAGCACGAGCGGCATCCACTTCTGAAATGGCTTGCCTCCAGAAGCTCTATGTACGAACAGTGCTCAGACTGTTCGTTCATAGGGTGGCTATGAGTCGTCTATGACTCGACAGCATTAAACAACAACAACAACAATACCAATCTCACTGTTTTACTGGGTTCAAAATCCAATGTGATAGTTCACAGACCACACATTAACCACAGTGGGGAAGTCAAAAGTCTGTAATTCAGGCTAGCAGCAGAAAATAGACAGGACAGAAATATACTCGAAGGTAACTTAGCTTCGAGTCTCATGGTTTTAGGCCTGAGTCATAAAGCCCTTACTCCTGCCAATTATGGCTCTCCCCACCCCACCCCCACCCCGAGTTGTTCAACAAAATTGGGCAAAGGCTCTTAGCTCAGTTTCCTTGGAGGGTAGAAGTCCCACGGTTAGCTCTGTCTCATATTGGGTCTCTGGTCCTCTGAGTCAGTCATGGCTGCTGTTTCTGTAGGTCTAACTAGCCTGAAATACTCTGGTCTCAAGGACACACTCTGCACACCCGCTTCTCCTTTGCTGGTAGCAAGGCTCTACCTCTCTCTACTGCTCTATCCAGTCAATTTAATGGCAAGACTAGCCAGTCCCTTTGTGGATAGGCTAACATGCCCTATTCAGATATGGCACCATTCATGTGGAAAAGTTGGCAACAGCTAGAGAAGCCATTTTGAACAACAAGCCCTTCACATTGCTGTTATAGTGTGTTATGATCCAGTCAAACGCCATTGTATAAGTCAATCAAACACAACATCAGTCAAAAAAACACATCCTTCTGATATTCTCTACTTTCAGCTAGGATCCATCTGACATCAATAATGACATCCCTGGTTTCATGGCCTCTACTAATTCCAGCTTCAACTTCTGGAAATTTACCATCAATATATTGTTCTCACTTTTTTGGATCATCTTCAGCAATATTTAACTTGCATGTACTATTAATGATATTGCTCAATAATTTCCACATTCTGTTAGGAATTCTTTCTTGGAAGGGAAACAGCCGGTTTTCCAAATTTTTTGACACAAGACTAGTAGTGTACACATCCAGGGCTGTACTTGTTAACTGAATGAAGTATCCCATCAATTTCTAGGACCTTATTTTTCATCACTGCATTCAGTGCAGCCTGAACTTCTTCCTTCTTTACCACTGCTTCTTGATCATACACTACTTCCTGAATTTTTTTCAGAGTTAATTCTTTTTAGTACAGTGACTCTGGAGTATTCTTGTTGGGTTTAATACATTTTAGAATGCTTCGTTAGAATGACTTTCTGATGTACATTGGGACATTTAAATCACCTCAAAATCTCATTCTTTTTAATATAGTGTTATGAATTTAATAGTATGGGTTAGTAAAAACAAGAATGATAAGCAAGAAAAGCTTACTTTTCATGAACTTTTATTAAAAATTCAGAACTTACCAAAATATCTGCTGTACACTTGACTATAAGGCAATGAGTGAAACAGTCAAGCCGAATTGTGCCACTCTGCTGATTGAGGTAAACTTGTTCTTCAGGCAAAAGATGTCCTATTCTACTGCTGGCGCTGAGACTTGAGGGGAAGGCAAAAGCAGAATGTTATTGTCACTAGAAGGTTATTACACTCACAGAAGAAAGAAACAGAGACATCTAAAAATATTTAAAGAATACATACGGGTCCTTATTTTCCTGTGACCCAAACATAATCATGGATTTCAAGGCATTCCAATCCTGTAGGACACGTTCTAACGCAAGCTGGGCAAATCTGGGGGGCTCTAAATCATGATCAGGCATATCTGAATCTAAAAAGAAAAAGAAAGAATGGGTAAGAAAGAAACTGTTTTCTTCTCATGTACTGTCATAGCTGTCTGATATATTCACCTTCAGGATTGGCTGTTTTTCGGTTCCGGTCCTCCCTGATTCGTGGTGGCCGATACTGGCAATGCTCTACAGTCTGTCGGGCAACCGTCTGTACTAAAAACAGCAAGAGATGTTCTCCCCTGCAAACCAGAACATGGTGGTGAGAAAACACAGGCCTGCTCTTGTCAATGTAACTACTTTTATGTCTTAAAAATCGCACTTGCAAAAAAAAAAAAACCTCAAACTTGCCTGCTGTTTGGCAGAGTGACAAGATTGGTAGCAGTGAGGAGACGATAAAGCAGATCGAGACGGGCAGATTTCTGTCCAGCAATTAGTGTCTTACATTTACACTTCTCCCAGCAGTCACAGTAGGCTGTCGGTGATGTCCTTTTAAGTCTAGAAAATATTAATATACAAGTCAAACAATGAAAAAGTATATTGTGTATTTTACTAAATGCTAATTGTTGACATTCATCTAAAAGGAAGAGTTACTTATCAGTATTAAGTCTCCAAGGAAACAAAAAATTCTGGAAGAAGAAAAATACCACAATGATTCTAAAGCAGTCACTACCTTTAGAATGTCTTCTTTAATTAATTACCTGCCAATCACTGTCTCTGTTCTTTCTGTAAACATCTAATAAAAAACAGCTATCTCTTTTAGATGCTAAAAACAGGGAAGACATGAATATTAGCCAAGAGTCTTTTAATAAATAAGGTTCTTGTTAAACTTGCTAAAACACAACAACAGCTGGATTTATAATCTAATTTTTCATTCATAAAATCTTCACATTTGACAGTTAGCCTGCACATTTATAGCTGGTGATGACTCTGAGGCACTCACTGATAATGATAATGACACTTCTGAGAAAATGTATTCGTGTTTTTTAGGTTTGCGCAACTAATACCCATAGCAACTCAATGGTTTAAATAGTTTAGGAAATAATATTTAAAAATAAAGCACAGGCTAAACCTTTACTATAAGTCTCTTTTTTTCCCTTTATTAATTTTAATGAACATTTACAGAGATTTTGGATTTCCATTTATTCATTGTTGCACTTTTCTCCCCACCCATGCCCCACCCCCAGTTCCCTCTTACTCTTAAAAGAAAAATTCCTTCATTGGTATACAATTCCCCCCACATACACACCCCGCCCCGAGTATACGCCACTCCGCAACCTTCATTCCGGACTTTTATGATAATCATAATACCTTATAACATATTGCGTTTGAACTGTTCTCTCCCTCATCTGTTTCAATGCAATATACGTAATTTATCCAGGTTTTCTAATTCTTATCCCAACCCTTAATGCCTATGGCCAATTTCCTGCCAGTAAAGACAACCCTAAAGAACTGTGACATTCTGGCTGCTTTACGTAATTTATCCAGGTTTTCTAATTCTTATCCCAACCCTTAATGCCTATGGCCAATTTCCTGCCAGTAAAGACAACCCTAAAGAACTGTGACATTCTGGCTGGATAATCCACTCAAAAACATTCCAAAATGTATCTCTCCAAGGATGAGTTTGATCTGAGTTTCAACACAAGAAAGTACATTTTTTAACATATTAACACAGTTGTGTTTAAAGAAATGTTTATGCTAAAACTAGCAAAAAACAAACAATTCAAAGAATTCTTGTAAATAAAAACCACATTTTAATATAAAGCAACTTAGAAACAATTCACGCTTTCTGAATTATAATATGGCTTAATTATTTAAAATAGCAATATAAATCCAAGCAATTCACAGCACTGTACTCACTTGCAATCATGACCTTTATGACAAACTCGTGCACATTCTGTACAACAACAAAGTGACTCCAGCAGGCCACAAGTTCGACATTCAAAAATATCCTAAAATTAAAATAGTGTGTTTTTAAAAAGATGTACATTTTACATTACACAAAGGGAAAAATTTTTTACTATATATGAAAAAATAGGCATAAGACACCCAAGCATTGAGGACTCTCCTTCATAGGGTCACTATGAGTCGCCTGAGACTCGACGGCACTTAACAACAATAACATCAACACAGAGATCAGCTGACCCAGTGGACAGAAAGTGATGCTACCAAGCCAAAGGTGGGTGACTTTAATCTGCGGCTCTTGGGCCAGTCTTTCATTTTTTTTGTTCAGACATTCCTCTAGGTTGTATAGCCCTGTGTGTTCACTCGCTGTACAGCGGTAACTTGTGGTTGCTGTGAGGCTGAAAACTGTGATGTGTCAAATGCATTAATGGTTGGTTACCCAATGCAGACAGAGAGTGGGGTGGAGCTCCCTGATTAAAACAAGCTTTGAAGGAGGAGTGGCATCCACTTCCGTAATAGCTTGCCTCCAGAAAACCTATGAACCTGGAGAGAGGATTAGAGACACCCCAGCGTTGAGGATTCTCCTTCATAGGGTTGCTATGAGTCGCCTGTGACTCGATGGCACTTAACAACAAGAACAACAACTAACTAACTAACTAACTAAATAAATAAATAAATCTAACTCTGTTAAAACTATGGGTCAGATTATACCATTCTATGAACATTTCCAGTAATTTAACACTCTGTGTTTTAAGAACTATCTTCCAAAGTTAAGCACTGCAACTGCAGTGCCATATGGGCATGGCTACAAGAGGAAATCCTACAGATAGCAGAGATAAAGGGAAGCATTACCTGGTTAATGTGCTCTGCTCCGGTCCATGTAAAACTGCAGGTATCATTACAGCACAAAACATATAACGGAGAATCATCAGGATTGGTACCTGATGGGCACACCATTCCCATAAATACATCTTCCTCTTTTTCACTTGAGGATACTTCAGCTAAAAAGGATAAGAAAATAGTAGACCATGTATCAAAAAGTGACTCAGTCACAACCACCTGCTACTTTCATCCAATGGAAACACTTTACTGTACAAATTAGCCATATGAATCATTAATGACACATGAAGCAGTTAAGACTCAAATCCCAGCTTTACTTAGCAAATCATAGACAATGGCGTAAATTATATTTCAGTGGGGTTTTTTGTTTGGTTTTTATATTTAATTTTTTTATTATTTATTTTAATGAAAGTTTACAGAGACTTTGGATTTCTATTCATTCATTGTTGCACTTTTCTCCCTGCCCACCCCTCGCCCCAATTCGCTCTTCTCTTTGAAAAATAAAAGTTTTCATTGTTATACAATAGCCTCCCTCCCCTCTAGTCCACTCCACTATGCAGCCATGCAGCCTTCAGTCTGGACTCTTGTCATGATAATAATACCTAATCATATATCCCCTTAAACAGTTCTCTCCCTCATCTGTTTCAATGCAGTATACATAATGTAGCCCATCTTTCTCAGTCTCCCCTCAACCCCAATGTCAGCCCCATTTTACAACAGTGGCACTATGCAATCTTCGTCCTTTAATGACCGAGATATTTCACTCAGATAATGTCCTCCAGGGTCACCCATTTCGTATATTTCATTCATGAGTTCTTTGTTGTTCAGTGCAGCATAGTATTCCATTGTGTGAATATACCACAGCTTCTCTATCCATTCATTTGTTGATGGGCACTTACGTTGTTTCCAACTCCTTGTTATTGTGAATAAAGCCACGATAAACATGGGTGTGCATATATCTGCTTGGATGTCAGCTATGGTCTCTTTGAGATATATTCCCAGTGGTGGAATTGCTGGGTCAAATGGTATTTCTATTTGCAACTTTTTGAGAAAGTGCCATACAGCCTTACATCGTGGTTTCTCCACAACCTCACCAGCATTTGATGTTTGCTGCTCTGTTAAATTTTGCTATTGATACTGCGGTGAGATGATTATCTCATAGTTGTTTTGATTTGCATCTCGCTTTGAGCTAAGGATTTTAAATATTTCTTCATGTGTTTATTTGCCATATGAATGTCTTCTTTGGTGAAGTGTCTGTTCATATCATGTGCCCATTTTTCAACTGGGTTATTTACCTGTCCCTTATGTGGCATGTCATTTCCAAATATTTTTTCCCCAGTCTGTGGCTTCCCACTTTACCCTACTGGAGAAGTTTTTGGATGTGCATATGAATTTGATTCTTAAAAGGAAAGGTCCCCTTCATCTATTTTATCTTCTCCTGGTTGTAGATTTTTCAGGATGCTTGGAAGACTGTTTATATTGTGGATTTGGACTTCTAAAGTTCTACCAAGCTTTTCTTTAATGAAGTTTATAGTCCTTGGTTTTAGAACAAGGTCCATGATCCACTTTGAGTTGGTTTTTGTGTATGGAGTGAGGTGTGAATCTTGAGTTTTCTACAGATAGTTTTCCAATTTTGACAGTTGTCATTTCCTCATTTAACTGATTTCATCTCCTTGTCAAAAATCAATTGATCATAGATAGATGGGCTGATTTCTGGATTTTCTATTCTAGTCCATTGATCTATATGTCTGTCATTGTACCAGTACCACACTGTCTTGACAACCACGACAGTATAGCAGGATTTGATATCAGGGAGTGAGATGCCTCCTACCTTGTTTCTCTTATCTGGGGACTCTTTCCATTCCAAATGAAATTAAGAGATTGCCTTTTCCATCTCATTGAAGAATGGAATTGGTATTGAACATGTAGATTGCCTTTGGTAGTACTGTCATTTTCATAATATTGAGTCTTCCTATCCATGAGCAAGGGATATTTTTCCACTTCTCCAGGTCTCTTTTATTTCAGTGTTTTTTAAAGATAACTAATCTCCTAAAGGTTGCATGACCAAAATGGATATTCTTTAACATTTTCTATAAAGCAGGAATTCTAACTTAGAAGAAATATCATCAGCCTATTATTTCAGTAAGATTTTATACTAGCTATTTGAAGCTGGAAATTATCATTTAACAACTAAAATTACAAAAACCCAAAACACAAAAAACCACCCAGAAATCAATCTATTCTAATTTTTAAAATAACTCCATTTAGGGCTTAAAATAAACTTACCTTTTGCAATTTTCTGGGCTGTTTCTAAGATAGTAATTGCAGCAGGATAAGCGCGACCACTTACAGCTGACATAAATGGGGTCATCCCTCTTGCATCCCTAAATTATTTTTTAAAAATTTCATAAAGTTATTAACTGTTTTACTTTCTGATTATGTAAGAAATATATGTTCATGATGGAGGGGAAAAATATCAACACTGTTATTTTAGTATTATTTTCTAGTCTCTTATTTCATTTAAGGAAGAAAACCATCTCTAGCAACTTTGTCTTCATAACCTATAATCTCCCCCTCTCCCCCACCAACCTTGGTTATCACAAAACTAAAGAATAGCTGTATAGCATCTCTGAAATCAAATCACTGATTTAACATTAGGATCCATGTTCTAATATTTCCCAGATGAGGAGGTTATAATAATAATCTAATTAATTGTGGTGAGAATTAAACAGCTATTAATTAAAAATGCTTTCTTTATAATGCCTCCCAAATAACATATATTGACATTAGCTATTATTTTCTCTTAAAAGGTACTGTATATTTTAATATGCCTGCACTGAATTTTCACCCTCCTAAAAAAAATTCTAAATCCAATCCTTGTCGATTGTTTCTCTCTCACCCACCATACTACCATTTACATGAAGGTTATACAGCTCTGTCATTGTAGTGGTTTAAATTATGTCCCTTAATAAATGTATCGGCTAGGCTTTAAACTCAGTATTAGGTAATTAGCCTGTCAGTTGTAAATCCTAACCTCATGATGTTAATGCTCTGGAGTTAGAATCAATCCGATGCTGACCCTCCAGTAGGTTTTCAGAGGCTGTAAACATCACAGGAGGAGAATGCTCGTCTCTCTCCTACAGAGCCACCTGGTGGATCCAAACCACCTACCTGTGGGTTGGCTGTGTAACTCCTTATTAATGACGCCAACAGAGTGCCCTACTTATCAATTTATTTAGTGTATACTTTATAATATTGAGAATAATCTCTTTCACTGAGGAAATCTTAGTGGTGAAGGGAAATATAATCTTGGGTCATGATTACTAGTCTAGATTCACATAATTGATTATGCACAATAAAAAAGATCCATTTAATCAGTAAAAGGAGCTAAACTATATCTTAATCTAAGCACTGTATTAAAGTTTCTTACTTGGCAGAGAGGAGTTCTCGTAGATATGGCTGCAGAACAACACTGTCACATAACAATTTTAATATAAAATGAGCATTTGCCTTTCGATCCTTGG